GGGTTTTTATTTTCTCCCTTTTGAATGGTTCATTCTGTATAAAATTAATATTCGCTCTATGGCTGCCAATGGATTCTGACTGTCCAGGAATCTGAGAGACTAAAGTGAGCAAAACTGTGTCCAGTGGCTCTGAAACCTGTAGAGCTAGTTTAAACTCCTGTCTCTGCTTTCACTGGGGTCTCAGAAAAATGGTTGTAAACTACAGGGAAAAAAATGTTATAAAAATGTCACTTTCAAATTACTTTTTACTAACATACGGTCCTTTTCACTTACACAAGTCTGTTCTGATCGTTTAAATAACATATAAAGAACATTTGTTCATAGAATAAATATGACATATCTAGTCTTTTTTCTTAACTTTTTTTTAAATATAAAGAAAGCATACCAATATCAATTTCATCTTCTGGTAATTAAGCACATTTTCCTAAGTGAAATATGTCAATAAGTTTAAAAGGAAATGTTTACTTGGGGATATAGTCATCAAGCTTAATTACTTCATTATTTATTTGTAAATATTTTCTATGAAATTGGATATTTCATCATTGATTTCACCCTTAAAAATATCATGCCTTATCTTAAAATTAACCTTGTCAAGAATTCACTTTGAAGCACTGAAAGATCTTAAACATAGCTCTATTTGGCTTATGCAGGAAATGAAAACAAACAATTACCTTCTGAAAGTTCCTCTGGATAGTAGGGTTAGTGAAAAATAAAAAAGACATGAAAATGTTACGCTTTTGAGAAGATCAAGGCTTCCATCAAATACAGACAAATGACAAAAGTGAGAAATGCAGGACATCCTTAGAGAAAGTTGTAACTTTGGTGAGGCTTCGCGAGGCAAACGGACACCTAACTGGGCACCCAGAAACTCATTTGACCTGACTCTGCTGTTCAGCTGACAGTAACTTTTCCTGCAAGTTGCTTATCTAAGACTCCCTCTGAAGGCTTTTTATCTCTGAAGACTCCTCTCTACTTGGCATGAAATGGGGCTTGAAAGTGAGAAATTATAGGAAGGCAACTGCTTTGAGTTTCCTCTCTCCTTCTCTCCCAGAGGCCATGTTGCTACAGTCCCGTGAAGTGGAGAAAGTGGGGAAAGGGCACTGGAGCAGATGCTGCAGCAGCCTCTGGCCTGAGCGTCCTCGGTCCTTTCCCTTCCTTGGGTCCAGGCACACATTTCCATCTCCACCTGGCCCCTTGAAGACAGGTGGAACTGAACACAAACATTTATTTGTATATGATAAGAGAAAGAGAGAAATTGCCTTAATTGAACTGGCATATTTGATAATATGCCAAAGCAATTGTAGACTGATGCAACAGAGAAGGTGAGGAAACATACACTTGGAAGTGGGTGAGTAATGTTAGCATACCCCGAAAGGTTGCCAGTTTTTAAAAAATGTTTTGTGGGGTCTATGTTGTTACTAATGATGTCAACACTACTTTGAGGGACAGATACTTGATGATACCATGTCATCANTGATAAAATGTTAAGTTAAAAAAAGTGGTATTGCAGCTGCCGATGTAACCATGTAAAACATGTTCCCATAACTGGAAGGTGGTATGAAAATATCGTCAGTATGAGGAATTTTAAGACTGTTTTCTTCTTTCAAAAATGTCTCTCTAGTTTTGTCTTATCTTTTCAAGAGAAAACTAAAAGAAAAAATAATTTTCGGCTTAGAGAAGTGAGAAATAAAGTGAGTGAGGACTTGCTATGGGCAAATCAGTGACATTGATACCACTGTCTGCTTTAGTGCCTTTTCAGCCCCCTCTCCCTCCTCCTGGGGCCCATCTCCTTCACCCACTCCTTCCTAGGGGTCTGTCAGAGGTCCATTTCTGAAGGCCCTCACTCAGCGGGTTCCAGTAGGGCTCTGCAAGCTACAGCACTCTATCTATTAAGGCAGTAGGTGGTTCACAAGATGTGCCACCATGGGTCCCTTTACTAACTATCCTCCCACCCCATTTGAATAATAAATGACCTGAGCTTTGAAGGCTGAGGACACAAACAGGGATAAAGGTTTAATGAGATTAGTCCTCAAGGTCTCAGGACAGAAAGGGGCAAGAAGGCTCCCTTTACTAACCATTTCCCCAAACTGCTGTTTGAATAATACTGTCTGGCAAACAAACTACATTCATTCCCATGTTTAGTCATCAAAGGCACACACCACTGTTAATCAGAGCTTCTGAACAGTGTAAAATTTAACCCCTGCAATGAGAGCCCAAATGAAGGCTTGTGTGCAGCTCTGCAGCTTTGCTTGCCAGTGTGTGCATGGATGTGCTAGCTGGAGAGACCTCAGGGGACTTCAAGTTGGGGAGTGATCACTGAAGGTGTCGCCAACACAAGGCCGTTTGCATTTTCATAAACTGAGAACTCTTCTAAATCCAAAGGAGTGTGTCTNTATTCATATTGTTCTTTAGTTTCTAAAAACTAAACTAGCCCTTTGTTAAAAACAAGACAATAGTGACAAAATGAAGTCACTTATGCTAAATACCACATCATCAAATTAAGACTTACCTTAATTACAGTTTTGACCTCTCCTGCCCACTAGACTCCTGCCATCCCCTAAAGGACAGTGACCTTGCCACAACCAATCCGCTTTTTGCTAGTTCCTGCTCCCTTCTGCCTATAAAAGTCTTTCATTTTATACGGCTCCTCCAAGCTCCTTTCTGTGTGCTAGATGAGATGCCACCTGTTTCTTGAATCATTGAATAAAGGCAATAAGATCTTTAAAACTTATTCAGTTGAATTATGTTTTCTAACACCATAAAGCCAAGACAAATTCACCTATCAGATCAAAGTCTCTCCAACTAGTCTCCCAACAAACCCTAGTGATTCTTGAGTCGGTCTTAGTTCTGTCACTAAATATGAAAAATCTTTTCCCAATTTACAAAAAAATTTAAGTATAAAAATGTAAAAGGTTTTTATATAGTTCTCAAATTTTTGGAAGCTGCTACTATTTATCGATACTAGAATCTACCAGAAGATGGTATCAGACAATAACAAAACATATATTTTGATTTTTAAAAAATTTGATATCTCAATATTTTATAAAGAAAATGAGGTTTTCACAAAGAGCATGAGGTTTTCCAGATGCTCTGCCTGAATGTTACTGAACATAACACCTGAGTGTTACTAAGTGTTGCTGTGATCATTTCCAAGATGCTGTTTTCTAGAAGGTTGTTTTGGAGCCTGGAGACATTCCCATAGTTGTGCTTCCCTCCCAAATGTCAGAACCACAGAAAAAGGAGGGTTGGGTGGGGGGAATTCATTTTACACATTTCTTTCAGAGGAAAGGCTTGTGGCCCCTTTGGCCAACTCTGTTTCAGAGACTCTATAGCTGAAGTGTTTCATATTATTCTAGTGGTAAATCTACCAAGAGGAATTGGTACCTGCTTCCACACATTTCTCATCAATCTTCACGTCATCTTCTATATGAAAGCATAGAAAGAGAAAAACAGAATTTATAATATGTTAGCATCACCAGCAAAATTCCCTATGCATATGCTTATATCAGCAAAACTCAGACCATCTTATGCTAATGTTACTTTTACAACTATTGCTCACTCGGAGAGATACAAAGGACTCTACTGTTTGAGATAAAAATATATGATATGAGAGGCTATATAACAAAACGGTTAAAACTTAAAAAGCATTAGCTTTTGAATGCTGGACAAATTAGTTTACCTCAAAGCCTCAGTTTTCTATCTATAAATGGGGATGGTAATAATACTTACTGTATAAGATAGAATAAGTGAGAATGCATGAAAAGCTCAGGCACATGGTAAGTGCTCAATCAATGTTAACTGTTTTTATCTCTAGCTTGGGCATGTATAAGTGAATAAAAGGATATAACTTCTAAAACCATTCATCCTAATACTGAAAACCTTTTACATCGTGACACAAGCCCACTTTTGAAGGCTATTGTCTACTTTTCTGTTTCACATAACTTACACTACCATTAGAATAGACATCACTGGTTTTTCCTCTGTGCTTTGCATATGCTGTTCCCTTTGCTTATAATGCTTCCAGGTCCATCTCAAACACTGATCAATGTGAATATTCCTGCCATGAACTGAATTAGCGTTTTCTTCCTGTTATCTTGAATTCTCTGCTACTGCACATCTACTCTACTTTGTAATATAATCACTTGGGTGTTTACCTTATTCACCATCCTAGACAGCTCCTGGAAATCAGAAACCATCTTACTAATTTTTACATAATTTACAGAACTTAGTACAGTGTCTTGCACATAGTAGGTACATGATAAGTTATTTATTAAATTGAATTAAAATTTCCTTTTAATATCAAAATAGTTGAGTTGAATATATATTCTGAAAAAATACCTTTCTCTTTTTTTTTTTTAGCGCTGTACATCTTGTGCCTGGCACAGTGATCAGAACTTTCCAGGTGATGAACAAATAGTAGTCGAATAGGACTTGTACAAGTTCCAAAAGTACAAATCATAGTCTGTATAATAAGCTATAGTGTCATAAAGTAGCATTCACCACCATTTCCTTAAAGAGCACATCATTAATTAATGTTTTTCAAGAAAATATGAAAATTTTTATGAAATAATACTGTTTTATAGAAGGAGGGGCATAGATAAACAAGTAACACAGCTGAGATTTTCAACACTGTCATTCAATTCTTTATATTCATTTAGAGATTATTTTCCAGGTCAGTAATTAATAACAACAGTGAATTCATTAGTTCCTAGGATGTAACTAGAGTTTGTTGTTTTTTTTTAAAGAAAACTAAAAGCTACAATTGTCTTTCCTGTTCTACACAAGCCAGGAGTGATCCTCCAGTGATTCGCAGGAATCCCTGATTTTTCAAACTTGTAAAAAAGAGCCACTGATTTTGCTCCCTCAAAATCAACAACTCCACAATATTGGCAAGGGTGGCTGTTATGGACTGATGTGTGTCTCCCCTCACCCCCAGGCTCATATGTTGAAATCTTAACTTCACTTGGAGTTGGGCCTTTAAAAGGGTAATTAAGGTTAAGTGAGGTCATGAGTTTGGGGCTTTAATCCAAAAAGGACTGGTGGCCTTACAAAAAGAAGAAAAGTCACCATATCTCTTCCTGTCTCTCTTTTTTTCCTCTGCATTCACAGAGGAGAGGCCACATGAGCACACAGAGAGAAAGTGGCTATCTGCAAGCCAGGAAGAAGGTCTCATCAGAAACCAATCCTGCCAGAACCTGGATCTTGAACTTCTAGTCTCCAGAACTGTGAGAAAATAAATATCTGTTGTTTAAGCCACCCATCTGTGATCTCTTGTTGCGGCGGCCCGAGTGGACTAAGACTGTGGGCTTGTTACCAACACCACAGAGACCCAGCCCTCTCCAAAGGCCTACCCATGCGCCCCCTCCCGTTTCCAGTATCAGGGATGAAATGGGGGGGGTGGTGGCCTACGGGACTGCTTTTCTCTCTTCTCTCCGCTTTCCTACAAGCAAAGAGCATCTTTCTGGCTTGCTTTTGTGAGTGTGTTTGACATCTAATGTGTCCTCTGGGTGTCTGGGCATAGAGCAGGGGAGAGGTAAGAACTGGAGGTCCTACTTGCCCTTGAGATAGACTGAAGATTCAACCCAGGCTACACTGCTTGTAACTGCTGACAATATTCTTACCTTATTTGAACCCCAATCTTTTCATCCATAAAATGCAAACAATCACAATTTCCTTAGTTTATTTGTAAGACAATGTATATAAAGCAGTTGACACAAAACAGTGCATCCATTTCACAACTTTGAGTTCTTACCATGTGCTGTGTTAGACTCTGGGACTGCATACTGTAAATGTTAGTTCTCTTTTCTTTTAGTCCTCTCTGTGTTAGGATAATTACACTGTGTATGTGTTCCTCTGACTGATCTTTTTTTCTTAAATTGGGGTATTAGTAACTAGCCCACTACTAGGTATACAGTAACAGCTTAATAAGTAGCTAAATTGAATTGAAGTGATATAAGAAAATTACAGGAAATTTCTAGGAGACTTTGGAGATGAGAGTTTTTTTCAAATACTATTTCTTACCTTCTTCCATAGAAATCGCTGGGTACAAATGATTGAAGCAGAAAGGGGTGGGAGGGGAGAGGGAGAGAGGGAATGCACATATTAGTCTATGCTCAGTTTCTCAGATTAACTTACCTACAATAAAAAAAGCAAAATGTCAAAATTATAATAATTAATATTCTGGGCTGATTCTCTAGAAATTAAGTAAAAATTTAATAACAAAATGATAAGTGAATTTCCTATAGAAACTAATATATTTATGAGCCTTGTTGGAAATGGGGGTCTACAATAGTTGCTCTGGCAAATCCTACTTGTTTCCATCCCAATAAGCTATAAAAAGTTGCATTCTATTCACTTCTGAACTAATATGCTTAGTTCAGCATATTTTAGGAACTCATATCTTGACTGGAAGAAAGGACAAATGGAAAAAAAGAAGGGAGGAAGGGAGGAAGGGAGAAAGGAAGAAAGGAAGGAAGGAAATAAAGGAAGAGGGAAGGAGGGAGGGAGAGAGAGGTGATAGCTATAAGTGCATCTAAAGTAAATAACTTTTTAATAACCATCTGCAAACTAACATAGGCCTGGAACTTTTCAGTAACACTCGATTAATCAAAATGCCTAAACCTCTTGACTCAGTTACCAGCTCCTGAAATTTTTTTCCCTAAGGTAACATTTAAGCAGAGCAGGGAGATACAAAATAATATTCATTGCAGAATCCTCTAAAAACAGTTAAAAAGGAATGATCTAATCGTTTAGAAAATGACTGTGCTCCATCAGAAACACCCCTGTGAGAGGTGACTGTTTAAGTCAGGGGCTCCAACACAGGGGTTCCTGGATNCAAGTTTGTGGTATCTCTGTGGCATATATAAACCTTAAATGAGATGTATGGCATTAAGCAATTGGGCCATAATGGCAAGCAGGGGTGCTACAGGAGCCTAAAATAAATAAATAAATAAATAATGAAATAAAAGAGAAGAGAATAAATAAAATAAAAAAGAAGCTTGGAGGGAAGGGAAAGGTGGAATGTCACAGAAGCTCCTATAGGTTGTCAGATATTACACATTACATGTGTAATATAATATATATGTGTAATATATTACACATATTAGAGGGCCTGCAGGTGGAGGAAGGAGGCACCCTCCCTCAAGATTTAGGGGTCCATAAGCAGGGGAGTGTGGCAAAGAAATGAGTATATCAGTGGTTCTCAACCTGTGGGTCATGACCCCTTTGGGGGTTGAAGGACCCTTTCACAGGAGTAACCTAAGACCATCGGAAAACGAAAAGATATTTACATTACAATTCATAACAGTAGCAAAATTACAGTTATAGAGTAGCAACGAAAATAATTTTATGGTTTTGGGGTCACCACAACATGAGGAACTGTATTAAGGGGTCGCAGCATTAGGAAGGTTGAGAACCGCTGGAGTATATGAATGATTTGATTGTACAGGTTAATTTAGGTGACTGGGAAAGATTTGACATAAACCAACTTTCTCATCAGTTAAAACAACTCTTGTTAGCATTTTAAAGAGATATAAGCAATTAAGAAACCAGAATTTATATAGGGAGCAACTTGAAATATATAGCAACATTACCAATGTATGCATCCTCGGATCAGCCAATGCTGTATACTGATACATGTGTGAAAAGATATATTTATAAAGCCTTTCATTGTAACATTGTTTACAATTAAAAAGATTGGACATGACTCAAATGTCTACTAATAAGTGATTGTACAAATGCACAATAACTTATTTAGCCAATAAGCTGTTTAAAAAAATATGAGGAGGCTCTTTATGTACTAAGATGGAATCATCTCCAAGGTATATAATGTTAAAAAAGGCCAGGAACAGAACAGTTTGTACAGCATACTAGCAAGGGGTATATGTGTTTGTGTCTGAAAAAAAGAAAGGTGAGGATGAGGGTGGGAGAGAGGAGAAAAAATATACACCATTGCTTTTATATACACAGAGTATGTCTGGAGGGATACGAAAGAGCCTGAAATTATTTATTGCCTCAGGAAAAAAAACTGATTAAGGCAACAGGGAAAGAGAGGACCTTTTCACTGAATATAGTTTTGTACTTTTTGAATTTGAAATATGTGAATATATTACCTAATAAAGAATTTAAATTAAAATTATAGAAAGGAAGTGAATATTACTGCAAGTTTTTTTAAAA